TAAGGGGGGAGATCGTCCGGGCCTGCTGATGTTTTGGGGTCTAGGCCCTTTAGAGCCTTACAAACCTCCCCAACATTGAAGGGGTTGAAGGAGAAAGTGTGGCTACTGGAGGCATGACTATTGGCGATGGAGGGAGATGATTTACCAAAAGATAATGTGTCAAACAAGGAACTGGACGCAATAAAATGTTTATTAAAACAATTAAGCATCTCTGTCTTATTTGACACAGGGGTGGAGTCAACAACAATGTTTGGAGGCAGCTCTAAGGAGCGAGAGCTGGCAGAGAGGGATTTTATGGCATGCCAAAATCTCCTAGGATCGTTCAAACTGTCTGTGGTCTGGGATAAGTAAAAATCGCTTTTGGCTTTTTTGGTTTTTATGGTTTTAAGTTAACTTTGAGGCTACGATTAGCATCGTTAGCACCGATGTAGCTACCACTCACTTACACGCTAATCCAAGCCTTAACATTCATTACGTAGCTGATTAAAATCATAAACACATAAGTACTCGAATTTCACTTACCGCAAAACGGCATTCATGCACCGTCTGTTTTAACCGCAGAGCGAGTCACAATAGTCCGATATATAAGCATGAAGAACAAACAAACACGGCCGGGGTCAAGTTGTGTTCCCTGGATGAACTGGGCAGGCAGAGTCCCTGTAGCTTCACGGACGGAGCAGCTAGCAGAGAGACAAGAAGCTAACAGCAGCAGTCACCTGACAGAGCTGTCACTCAATGTGACCACGCCCTAATTTATGCAAAAACTTTAAGACCTAATATAAATAAAAGGGTCATGTTAGAAAACAATTCACTCACAGATCCATAATCATGAAGGTGGAATCTAACTATATACATAATAAAATGTATTGGAGCCAGGGCTAGAAACGTTTTTTTTCTGCTGTGAAAATGGGCATTTTAACATGGGGGTCTATGGAAATTGCTCCTTTCTGCAGTCATCGCCTATCGGCCAATATATGAACTGCAGTTTGTGGCACTTCCGTATTGGCGTCCCGGCTCTTCCCCAGAGTTTGCCGCTTGGTATTATGGGGTGTCATCAAATGCCGTTGCCATGGCGACAGATCATTCACCATCAAGTTAGTTCAAAAGTTTGCAGTTCAAATATTCTGCTGCTTTTCCAAGCCTTTTTAATTTCTTTTCTTCACTCATCACACATTCAAGCCCCCAGTGTTCATGTATCATTTCAATCTAAATTCTTCACTTTCTTCTTACACATTACATTTCAGCATAGCAGTTTAGCGCCAGCTTTTCAGCATAAAGCATTCCCACTAGCAATTTCTTCAGGAATTGCATTCTCTAGTTCAACTTATTCTTCTACATATATATTACATCCATACGTTTGTAAATGTTGTTTTGTTCACATTTGTATTTCTCTAAATGTAGTCTGCAGTCATAGCAGTTGATTGTTTCCTAAAGAAACTATTATTCTTCCACTGTTAGTTGTTAAAGTAAATATATGTTTTCTTTAGTAAATGGTCTGAATAAAGAAGGTCCTCTGAACTAATATTAGTTTTACATAAAGTTTACTTTGTGACATAGAAATGTTTATGTTCCCAATAGGGCTTCACGATTTGGTGAAAAAGTCATATTGAGATTATTGTGGACAATATTGCGATTTGCGATTGAATGAACAAAGTGTAATATGTACTTGGTCAGGGAAAGGAAAGAGCACAGACAAATGATCATTTTGAAATCTGTGTTTCTGAAAGAATCATAAACAAATCCAACAACAACAATATCTGAGTAGTAGGCTACTGTTTGGAAATAACTTAGAATTTGACTAAATAAAATAAATACCAAAATATATCTTCTTTGAAAATAAAGGTTTTTTCTGCATACTTTCTGCACTACTATCCAGTAAATATAAGAACACATGCACATGTTCATTAAATAAGACATCTGGATGCCCAAATAAATGAGGATGTAACAGAGAAAAGAGCAAGTAACAAAATGGGGCATATTTAGTGTAACCTCTACAACAGGAACAACATATATGTTAAATAAAAGTGATACCCAAAGTATCTCCACATTACAGATGGAGCATTATCTTTGGCCACCAATGACCCTGAAAAGGATATTGCATTGTTTTTGTTGCTTTCATTGCTATTGTATACATTTCTTAAGTGTAATTTAACTCAACTTCCTGTTTTATTTAGACATGCTTTTATTTAGAAGGCGACTTTGCGCTATTAACCCTTAGATGCATAAGTGGGTCTTTTTTTACCCGGTGAGGTGGTTTTCTTGAAGTATCTTTGTAATTACATTTCATATTCCAGCTATTCCTCAAAAAACATGTTTTGGATATCATGCCATGCAAATGTTTTATTTACATTTTATACATTTTAAGAAATTGTAGTTTTTGTATTACTACCCCAAGCTTCCATAAGTGGGTCTTTTTGGACCAGGTGAGGTGGTTTTCTTGAAGTATCTTTGTAATTACATTTTTTTATCATTTCATATTCCAGCTATTCCTCAAAAAACATGTTTGGATATCATGCCATTCAAATTTTTTATTTACATTTTAAGAAATTGTAGTTTTTGTATTACTACCCCAAGCTTCCATAAGTGGGTCAAAAATGACCCGCATGCATTTTCTATGGAATCCTATGTGAACCTTTGATTCTTATCACCTGTGGCTGTCAGGAATACATTCACTGTAGTGACACCTCTCAGGAAGATTATTTTACACAGCAAGATCTGATAACTGTCAGTATAATAATAATAATACATTATATTTGTATAGGGCTTTTCAAGGACTCAAAATTGCTTTACAATATAAGGGAAGGTTAGGGTGGGGGGTATAGGACTATCAAACTTGATCAACCGGCATGGATTGATGGGGGGTGGGCTATGAGTAGACAAGAGGAGAAGAGATGAGTTTTGAAAAGGGACTGGAATACTGTGAGGGTCTCAGAATAGCGGAGATCTTTGGGACAATATGTTCAAAAATGTTTTTTTCAAAATGTAAAGAAAATGTCTAAAATCTTGAAAAATTAAATATAAAATATTTCTAATGTGAACCAAAATATAATACTAAATATTATACAAGTGATTTTTCTTAACCAAAATGACAAAAATGGGATAAAAACACATATTATTCTAATACGGATCCTTTTAGACCCACTTATGGAAGAGTGTAGGGTCCAGTCACTCGTGCATCTAAGGGTTAACAGGAAGCTACTGTTCCCAAACAAAAAAACTTGACGGAGATGAACGGAGATAAAGTACAGATATTAACGGAGATATTTACATTTAAGTACGGCGATATCAAAAGAAAAAGTTTACATTAAAGGGGACCTATCATGCAAAATGCACTTTTGTACGTCTTTTATACATGAATATGTGTCCCCGGTGTTCCAGGGAACTCACCAAGTGTCAGAAAACACAACCCTCTCTATTTTCCTCCATACCCAAATCTCTAAAAAAGGGGCTGCAACGGATCTGATAAAAACTGATCCAGATTTGAACACTTCACTGACGTCAGTAAAGTGGCGCTACGACTATTGGGCCAACTCTCCACCTATCAGGGGAATGTGGGGTTGGGCCACGGCCGGCCATTGCCGCTCGAAAGCGCTGGATACGCTGTAGTACATATGCCAGGCCTGTAAGTGGCGCTGTAGTCTGCCACAAAAGCAGCGAAGAAGACTTCCCGCCCATAGTTACCATGGTTACCCTTCTGTTTATTCTCCGCTGTGGCTTTCTTTCTCCCTCCCCGAGGCAAGCGTTTGCTCCCGCTGCTTTAATTCAATGCAATCCCTCCCCGTCGAGGCAAGCACTGTAATTCTCTCCGGTTAGTCCACCAGCAGATGACAAACACCCACCTCTCCGCCTCTTCCAAGGAACGAGGGGACCGTGCGGCAGAGTTTCAGTTTCAGTTGCTTTCGCCGGTCAAGATGTCCGTTAAAGTTTAAATCTTCCGGACAAAATTAGAAAAGTGCCGGTCAAAGGTCTTCTTTGTTATTTATTGAGCTTTAAAACAAATGAATAACGACTCTATATAATAAAACACGGAGGACGGAGATCTTTTTTTCTCCCCCTCTTGACTTGATCAGAGCACGGCTCCCCTCTCCTGCAGGGGGGCGTGGTCAGCTGCAGCTCACAGAATCAGCCCCGTAGACAGCAAACAGCACATAGAGCGAAATGAGGCATGGCTAAAATGCATGATCTGTTTGGTATTTTGAAAACAGAAACGTATAAATATACCTTATATACTGTAGGTATGGCCCTACAATATATCATTTAAATATAGCATGATATGTCCACTTTAAAGTATTAGCAAGAGGCACAAGGTTAGTGTTCACTGATATAAACATGTGTCCTGATTCGTTTATACTGTTTTATAACTTTGCGGTTCACTTGTTTAATGGTATGCTAAAGTGATGCTAATATGGATGAAGCTTAACTGTAGTTGTTGTTTTGTGTCTTTGTGTAGCTCTGACGTTGATTTTTGGAGTTCTCAATAAATAAAAAAATCATCAGTCAAGTGTACGACCGTCTTTCAGAGGGATCTGCTACACTTGGTGTTCCGGTTTCCTGTTGTTAGCATTCCAGCTTCACAGTAGCATGCAGCTAGCACGTTCTTGTGTGTGTAGTTAAATGGAAAATAAAGTGTGGAGTTCCATATTAAACACACCGCCTCCGACTCCCATTCATCGGCTCTACACCACGCACATTTCTTTATTTCATTAAATCACAGCCTATTGCGGTTATGTAATCGCACAAGCTGATATTGCGATTGCGATTCCATTAATCGTACAGCCCTAGTTCCCAATCATTTAGATGTGTTTTCACAGATAATAACCAGAAGGCTGATATAATGATGATCCTCAATAACAGAATGACGGTCACTGTTATTCAGGGAAAGATCATTGATTAGGACACAGTAATGATGAGCTGCACATTTCAGACCTGAACATCTGACTGGATTATAAACTGATTTTTATCCTCATCATCTTTTCTTTATTCAGTCTGTGGAGCTGCAGTTTGTCAGAGATCAGCTGTTCTGCTCTGGCCTCAGCTCTGAAGTCCAACATCCATCTGAGACATCTGGACCTGAGTAGCAACGCTCTGCAGGATTCAGGAGTGAAGCTGCTGAGAGATCTTCTGGAGAGTCCAGACTGCAGACTGGAGACCCTCAGGTCAGTAAGGGGTCTCTGCTGGTTCAGCAGTATTGTATTAAACACAGGGAGGTGTTTCTCTCACTGGGGAAACAGATCAGTGATGTTATACATCCATACGTTTTTAAATGTTGTTTTGTTCACATTTGTGTTTCTCTAAATGTAGTCTGCAGTCATAACAGTTGATTGTTTCCTAAATAAACTATTATTCTTCCACTGTTAGTTGTTAAAGTAAATGTATGTTTTCTTTAGTAAATGGTCTGAATAAAGAAGGTCCTCTGAACTAATATTAGTTTTACATAAAGTTTATTTCCTGACATAGAAAAGTTTATGTTCCCAATCATTTAGATGTGTTTTCACAGATAATAAACAGAAGGCTGATATAAAGATGATCCTCAATAACAGAATGACGGTCACTGTTATTCAGGGAAAGATCATTGATTAGGACGCAGTAATGATGAGCTGCACATTTCAGACCTGAACATCTGATTGGATTATAAACTGACTTTTATCCTCATCATGTTTTCTTTATTCAGTCTGAGGAACTGCAATTTGTCAGAGATCAGCTGTTCTGCTCTGGCCTCAGCTCTGAAGTCCAACATCCATCTGAGAGAGCTGAACCTGATTGAGAACGCTCTGCAGGATTCAGGAGTGAAGCCGCTGAGAGATCTTGTGGAGAGTCCAGACTGCAGACTGGAGACCCTCTGGTCAGTAAGGGGTCTCTGCTGGTTCAGCAGTATTGTATGACACTCAGGGAGGTGTTTCTCTCACTGGGGAAACAGATCAGTGATGTTACCCACTGACTGCAGGCTCTTTCATTCTTCCATCAACTATAGAAGGCCAGCTGAAAATGCAAAGCCACATTTATATATATTATTATTTATTTATAGCCACTGTCATTTTATTTTGTATATATTGATTGTTGTATTTTTTTATTTAGGTCTTTATGTGTAAAAATGTGTCTTTGATTCTGTGTAAATATATATATATAAATATTTGCATACATATTTTTATATACATTTGTTTTTATACTCTGGATTGTGGGAAATGGTATTTCGATCTCTCTGTACACACAAACTGGAAGATTGACAATAAAGTTGACTTTGACTTGACATTTAGTAATCAACTCTCTCACAGACACATGGGATTTGACTGAAGAGTGGAAAAGGTAGTCTGTTTTTATGGGATGTTTTTAGTTTCTAGACCAGGGGTCGGCAACCCCTGGCACGTGTGCCACCAATGGCACGCGGCACCGTAACCAGTGGCACACTAGGAATAAGTGGAATAAGTGTACAAAATATTTATTTTATTTTCGGATCCTGAACGAGACCGCCGCCAGAGCGCGTCTCCCTGTTACCTGCAGAAGGAAGCCATGCACGCAACGCAGCCCCACTCAAAAAGGCCGATCGCGAGACGTAACATACATGACACTTGTCTCGGTGTGCGGCAAAACAAGCTCGCCAAGATCGCTTCACCAGTCTGGCAGTATTTTAAGGTGTCAGAAAAAGACAATAAAATAGCGGTATGCAACGTGTGTGAAGCAGAAATCCTGCAGCTCCACCCGCTGTGACGGACCGGTGAGCGGAGCAGAACACACAAGAGTTAGACCTAACACACTTAGCTATTTGATCTACCTTTGGAACAAGTTATAAATATATTTATTCTTCACTGTCACTCATTACTGGATCAGTGAGCTGCATGAGATACTGACGGGCTGTCAGGAGAGAGAGAGAGGGGGAGAGAGGAAAAGAGAGCGCTTCCGCTCATTTCTCCCGTGTTATTATCCAAAGTTAATGTAATGAGTGTTAAACATCACTTTTCCCGAGTGTTTTCGTCGAGCTCATCAACACCCCCCCCCCCCCCCCCCCCCGTTGATAATTCACGATCGTCGGCACGCTGATCTTTTTTTTTTTTTAGAATGGCACTTCATATCAAAAAGGTTGCCGACCCCTGTTCTAGACTAATGACTGGTTACTTCCTGTAATGCAGCTGAGAGCAGTCAGTCGTAGTGTTTGCAGAGAAGATATGATGGGATGTAAAGCATGAGAGCAGTCAGGACTCTGAAGCTGACTGACTCAAAGAACAAACACTTATTTTAAACTGGATCTAAAACTGTTGGGTTGTGTTCATCCCTACAGGATCAGATATAATGAGCCTATCAGAGCCAAGATCCAGAAGACCTGTGAGTACTGAATATCCTCCATTCATCAAGATATGAAACTCTTTCATGGAGCATGACCTCAGAGGAAAACAACACTCTTGTTTTTCTCTCTTCATCATTCTGGATGTTTCTCTTCATGTTTTATTATCATCATGATTCTCTCTCTCTCTCCTTCTCCTCTCAGGTGACAGGAAGTGAAGACACACAGAGAGGTGAGAGGTCGTACTGTGTGAAGTTTATTTATTGAGGTTTCACCACGGAATAAATGTAGTTATTAGTTTTTCTGGGAAAGAAAGTCCTGCATTCAAAATGTTCCTCAAGTGAAAGTAGAAAAGTATTCTCATCAAAATATAGTGAAAGTAGCGACAGTAAAAGTAGTCATTGTGCAGATTGGTCCATTTCAGAATAATATATATGATATGTTTTATAATGATTGATCATGAAAGTGTTCTCAAAGCTGGTAAAGGTGCAGCTAGTTTGAATGACTTTGTATACTGCAGGGTAGCTTGTGGATTTACTCCAGGTGGAACTAAAGTCTGATTTAACACTTGATTATATTTCACATCATTCATCCACATCTGTAAAGTAACTAAAGGTATTAAATACATGTAGTGGAGGAAAAGTACACCATTTACCTCTGAACTGTAGAGGAGTAGAAGTACAAAGTAGCATACAATGGAAATACTCAAGTACAAGTACATCAAAATGTTACTTAAGGACAGTACTTGAGTCAATGTACTTAGTTCCTCTCCTGATCTGTAAAGCTCTCCCAACATATGCAGGTTAGCATCCGGCAGCTTCTATGTGCTGGGGACCCGTACTGTACATTTCTATCATCACACTTTGGGCTCCTCAACATCTCTGTGTTCCCAGCAGGACTCTCTGAGCTGCAGACACATTCTTTCTGTGACTTAGATCCAGATATTTGGAGCATAATAACTGAAGCTGTTTCTCCATGTTCAGGAACTCTGAGTCCTGCGGCAGGAAGCGGTCCTTCTCTCCAAGAACTCCTGGAGCCAGGCCTGCAAGCTGGTCCAGAACTAGAGTCCAACCGGTCGACCTCGTGAAGTTAAACTAAACTACACAATTATTAAGGATCATGTTTAAAGTTTAAAATGGATGCTTTCAGACTGCAGGGTTTCCCACACATAGACTCTACTTGTATACAGGTATATTAACGGCCGCCAAAGTATATTTCGCGACCCATTTTTTGTTTTGTCCGCAAGCACGACGCCATCTGCGATCGATTAACGAGTGGACAATGATCCCTCGCTCTACGCCTCCTGTAGAGCGAGGGATACTCGAATACTGAATGTTCCTTCTGTATCAGAGTAGCACATGATAACAGAGGCCCTACGTAGCTGTGTACGTAGCTGTGTACGTAGTCGGATGTCTGACTACATGGATGGTGCTCATGAGACACTGTGTTGAAGTTATGATAGCTATGTTCCTCAGATTGGCATGAGGACACAGCCCCTAGAGCAAGGGTGTCAAACTCAATTTCCTCTCGGGCCACATTAGCATCATGGTTGCACTCAAAGGGCCAATTGTATATATAAGACTATATAAAAATACATATAAATATTTAATAATATAAAATAATGTATTATATTACATTATTGCATTGGATTATTATCGGATAGGCTAGTAACTTCATAATTAACTAAGTCTGAAAGCAGAAGTCTAGGGCAAATAATTGCAAGTCCCTTCAGTAAGAATGTCACAAAATGAATTAAAAAGAAAAGCCAAATTCTGAAGAAAAAGAATGTCAAAATCAAAAAAATAAGTCAAATTTTGAAAATAAGTGACATTTTGAAAAAAAAGGAAATATTGGAAGAAAATAAGTCAAATTCTGAGAAAAAAGGCATATTTGAGCTGCATTGTGGGACATGTAGTTTATGGGCAACGTGATTCTGTAAAGTAGCATGTAACCGTATAATAAACATATTATATTCTTAGCAAGCCCTTGCGGGGCCACATCAAATGAAGTTGCGGGCCGGATTTGGCCCCCGGGCCTTGAGTTTGAGACCCCTGCCCTAGAGAGATAGGCATATGACTGTCATGTGTATTGCTTACGCAGGCCTTAGCTAATCTGAACTAATGTCAGAATACTGCTTTGAACCAGTATTCCTCCATCTTGTTGACTGTAACTCCTTCTCTTGTATATAAGCATATCAAGGACTCTACTCTGGGAACTATTTGTCCCACGCAGCTCTGTGTGTGAAGACTACTTCCATTCTTGAGAGGATAATAAATACATGGATCCTGATATTGAAGCTCAAGCCGGTGACGAGTGATATTTGTATAACACTCTGCTACCGCGTGAAGGGTCTGCTAACAAGCGACCAACAGAAAGGGAGACCTTACGAGAAACAGAGAAGACGACGTAAACATCGTTTCTCTGACTGCAGTCAAAGCAGATATTTTGTGGATTATAAAAATGAAACTATAAGAATTACTCAGAATGTTCTTTTACAAATATTTCAAATGTTTCTATCCGAGTGCTTTCCTCATGAATTATCCATAAATCTTGGAGTTTGTTTTCTGTGTATTTCATAATCTTAGAGGATATTTGATTTCATGTAACTTTCAGATCAAACATGTTTTTATTGCGTTTCTGCAATGCATAACAAGGGTTTGTCCTTTCAGAAATGGAAAGCTAAATGTATGCAAATACAAATGACACAATTGTTTGTAATGGTTATATGTACAAAGAGAAAAATAAAAAACAACAGAATGAGAGAGGCTTTAACATTTTTTATTATTGTTTTAAATAAAGAAGATTAATTGTGTTAATTGTTCAAAGGAGACAGGCTGCATGTTTGCTAATTTAATAGATCCAAGCTAAAGACATTAAAGTCTCATTTTATCCTCGGAAAGTTCACAAAAAAAGCTTCCTAAACTTTTATTCTGACAATCTCAAATGTGGAGAATCTCCTGACTGGTTTCACATCCACAGTTTGAACCAAAGTCTACAGATATCTCAGCGTTCATGTAGCCGAGAACACTTTTTCTTTATAAAAGTTTGTTGGTTTTGACACGTGAAAAAGTAGAGTATTGCTCCATATGTTGTCTCCAGTACTGAGCAAGACCACTCTCTATTCCAGTAAGTCTTCACAGGCTCTGCAGCATTTAGAAGTGACGCTGCACAGATCAGTGCTGCAGAGTTACAGCGAGGAAGAGGAGGAGGAAGAGGAGAGATGAGAGGAATCCTGCTACGAAGCTGGAATGGGAAAGATGACTTCAGCAGGGAGAGGAGATGAGGAAGAGGAGAGGATATTAGGAAGAGGAGATGAGGAAGAGTAGAGGATTAGAATAAGAGAGGCAGGGAGAGGACGGATGAGATGAAGGTAGGCAATGAAAAATATGAGAAATGAAGTAGAAATGGAAAGTCTGGGTCTGACCTTGCTTCAGTCTCTGAGGAAAAATACAAATGTTTGGTTGAACTGTCCCTTTAAAGACATCATCATCATCAGCTGGTCCCCCTTGAGGTGTCAGTTGGAAATTATTTCTCAAAAATCTGACTTTTTTCTCAAAATTATGTTTTTCCTCAAAATTATGACTTTTTAAGAATAAAACTGAAATTGATTTTATTTCTCAAAATTCCAACTTTTTCAAAAAAAATCAGACTTTTTCAGAAAAATAAGAAATTAGATATTTTTCCTCAAAATTCAGTTTTTCTCAAAATAATGACTTTTAATATTATAATTTTTAATAATCTGACTTTTTTTGAAAAATCTTTGTGAGCGTTATTCAGAGCTCATCTGTGTGTTTCACCCTCATGGGGAGTGGAGGATAAACGTTGCAAATGCATGAGTTTTTGCATTAAAGGATTTCTAAATCGTTGTTTTGGTTGAACTGTCCCTTTAAAAACAGAAGAGATCGTTTCCATAGCAACCTAAAAAAAGACACACATGCGGATGCTTTCAAATGTATTTATTCATATATAGGAATAAAGAAATGAAAGGGAATGAAAATAAAGTTGTCATTAATTTATTAAAATATCAAACAGATGTAGGTTACAGCTTGACTGATGATTCTAAAATGGGTTTAAACAATTAATTTGGTGGAAAATAATGACTTTATTTACTAGAAATCCTTAGTTAGCACTAAATGAAAGTTTAAATTAGTCTTCTTTGGGAAGCTGCACATCATCTTCATCATCCTCTTCATCATCATCATAATGCTTCTCCCCCTTAAAGTGTCAAGTGGCAATTTTAGCACAACTCCAGAATAAAAGAAAACAATTGGTATTTAAAATTAAATTAAAAAATAGTGTGCAGACATTTACACATGCAACAAATGGATATATACACAAACAGCTGGTTTAAATTATTTATGAATAAGGCTTTTATATCAACAAGCCTTTTGTATACTGCCACATAACACTGGAGACGTCTGAACAGAAGCAGTGAGTCTGCGGTTAAACCCAGAATAACTAACACGTGTCATTAAAATGTGTTTTATATTACATACATTACATTATAATACATGCAGAGCCTCTCTGTTCAATTAAAACCCAAAGAAAATAACATTTTCAAGGTTAGGTGTTTACAAATGCATGCTGTTTAATAAAACAAACAACAAAGTCAGTCAGAAATGTTTGTAGATACTTTAAAACACCCAAAAAATGTGATCAAAAGAATCAGAAACACAGGAGAGCTCCGACATAAAGACGGTACGACTCAGTTCCTAAAGTCTGACTGCATTATTACTTTGTTTAGTGACGGTTCATTCTGCTAGGGTCGAGTATCAGGGAGATCTCACTGATTATAATTATTCATATTTCTTTTTATTAAATCCTATGAATAATATATTTTCCCTTTTATCGTATTTTCGACTTCATCCAGATCTCAGGTTCCAGCATCACGTGATCTTTGGTGCCTTATAGAGACTAGAAACACAAACAATGCTGTAATGTAACTTTAATGTGTTGGACAAAAGAGAAATCATTTAAAAGGTTTTTTTAATATCTACGGATGAGGATTGGGGTCGAAAATAAAAAATAAAAAATTCTGGATTTTTCTTAAAGTTCTAACTTTTTGTCCAAATTATTACTTTTTAAAGAAATGAAGAAAAAGTTACTTTTTTCTCAAAATGTTCTTAAATTTAACTTTTGTCCAAATTATGAATTTTTGGAAAAAGTAACATTTTCTAGATTTTTCTGAAAAAGTCAAATGCTTCAATTTATTCTGAAAAAGTCACATTTTTAACACTTTAAGTATATTTCTGGGAAAAAGTTAATTTTTCAGATTTCTTTCTGAAATTCTGGCTTTTTATTAAAGTTCTAACTTTTGGTCCAAATTATTGACTTTAAATCCGAAATCTGACCTTTTGTCCAAATGATGTCTTTTCAGAAAAATTAAGAAATATGGATATTTAAAATTATGAGAAATGTAAGACTAAGACTCCTATTATTTTCTTTGGTGAATGTTATTAACTTCCATTCTCGCCTCACCTCGCTTCTGAATAATTCCCCAAAAGCTCTTATTTTTTCCAATTAGTTCTTATTTAATTGAATGATACTCAACCCCATTATTCCCTAAAAATACAGATACTTGATTTAGAGTTTTCCTGATGTGTCTAATGTCAAAGAAGCGCGCCGTTACTGAATAAGACATAAATCAAAGTGCAACAAAACATGTTGATTTTCTTCTAAATGAGGTGGTGGTTAAAAGATCTACAGGAAACTAAATGTCAACAACTAATGTGGAAAACGTTTTGATAGTCCAGATTTAAATAAACAAATGTGTGAGGTAGTTTGATTAAACATTAATATATTCAAAATGATAGACTACCTCTTAAATACCTCTACCTAAAATCTCTCGAAGCTACCTGAAGGAATGAATTTATCATTATTATTACGTTATTGTAAGTTTGCACGACTTTCCAGGACTTCAAATGAAATGTGGCAGTTTGTTACAGCAATGAAATGATGAAATACAAATTCTCACAGCTTCTTAAAAACACGAAAAAAGCAGTGTCCATCATATCCAACAGCAGCAAGTGGAAGGATCAAATCAAATAAAAAATGTGCCCTAATATGTTTTCTAAATGTCTTTTTTCGGGTCATCACTGCACCATGAAGGAGGAAAACGCCTCGGTGCTTTTGAGTCCGTTTCGCTCTATGATCTTCTCGATGGCGATGTAAGTTCCCGTGATGAAGCCGATGAGCCCGATGAGGCTAATGGCGGCGTTTTTGATGGTGACAAGAGGCGAAAGACCCTCCGTGTGGAAAGTGATGATCTACAGGATGGGCGGAAAGATCAGCGCCAGAAAACTGCTGCTGACCGAACCGACCAATGAGATGACGAGGTCCAGCTCTGGGATCAGGATGGCCAGAGCGCCTGGAAAAGAAGAGGGAAAGGAGAGAATATCGGTCATAACGGGGTCTACTTTAAAGAGTCCTCTCCTGCTGATGTTCAGGTGTATATCAGTATGTAGTGTCTCTACTTTAAAGAGTCCTCTCCTGCTGATGTTCAGGTGTATATCAGTATGTAGTGTCTCTACTTTAAAGAGTCCTCTCCTGCTGATGTTCAGGTGTATATCAGTATGTAG